TGACGAAGTAGATTACAGTTACTAATATAGGCAGACAACATAACAGTGACAGAGCCACGCGACAGCTTTTGCTGTGGCACGGGTGGGCCAGACTAGATGCAGTGACGACCTGGTAAGACATGAAATGAAGAGCTGTAATGAATGAATGTAATGGATGGGTTGTTCGGCTCGAACCGAGGAGGTACCACGACCTTACAGATAACCAGTGTGAAGTAGAAGTTTACTTCGCCTGGTAAGTGCAGGTGGTTGGAGGCCCAACCCCTTTCCTCCTTAATATGGTAGTGTAATTAAATAAGAAACTATCCCAGCAGGATACCAGCACCCCTGGTATTGGAGAATCCCTGACTGAGCATCCACATCCAAGGTACCCTACTCTTCCTTAGCGCGGGTGTTCAAGCTGCCTCGCGTATACTGGAGAAGGGGGGGGGGGGGCAAAATTCGTGGCATGTAGAGCAACAAGACAAAGGTGACCCCTGCTACGCTATCCATGAATTTCTGAACATCAGGGGATTTCATTCGAATGTTAACAAAGTCCACTAGGTACCATCTGAAGATGGCGAAGCCGACCTTGCTCTTTCTAACCGAAACGCAGGTGTCCCCTCCGGTCGATACTGCTATCCTATCCGGGGTACAAATTAGAACACCTTTGTGCCTCGGGCTGGAGTTTACGTATACGTCAGATATGACATTTATTCTCGACGCCTCGGAAATCTTGAATGTCAGCGACGACCATCCTCGCGTCTAAGGGTGCCTCTTTAGGTAATGCGGACACATACCAAGTCATCGTCCACGTCCAAATCGCTACAAACTCTGTGCTACAACAGGCCCCATCTGCAGAGATCGTGATCCTTGGTGATTTTAACAGCCACCACGCTGAATGGCTTAGTTCTCGTATAATCATGCGGGAAGATCTGTTTATGACTTTGCCTTGGCATATGGTTACTTCACCTACACGCGGCTTCTAGATGTGAAGGATCGTGCACCTTCCCTGTTGGACCTTCTGCTGACCTCTCACCCGGACAGATATCGACGGTCTCCGTCTACGCCTCTCTTGGCTCATTGGACCATTGTCTAATCCGGACTATGGTGCCACCTACACTCCTATCACGGTTGCGTTCTGCAGATAGCCGCCGTATTTGGCATTATAGGTCGGCCGATTGGGACAGGATGCAGTCTTTTTTTGCATTCATCCCTCGAGGACAGGGACGGGTATGCTTCTCGCCGGATGATCCTAACGTGATTCTGTCGCTGATGTGGTACTTCAGGAAATGGAATTCTTAATTCTATCATCCGTGGTGCCTGGTATGGTCGCTCCTGTAAAATTTCATCGCACTATAATAGGAGTGCTTCACCAGCGCTATAAAAAAGAAATCCAATTTCTACATAGCGCTCGGTTTGCATAGCACTACTCTCCCTAGACGTCAAGTCGAGTGTGCCTGATGGAGTTTGTGCTGAAGACGTGTGCTCCCTAGTTGGCAACGGTCGTAACGTGTCTTTCTCCCTAGGCGTACGCCCGAACTCAAAGAAGAAAGCTTTAGTAAACCATATCTCTAAAAAATATCTGAAAATCGACCGCTTAGACTTATCAAACTTGTTCTGTAAGATAATGAAAACCATTGTGAACTGCCAGCTCATGAGGTTGAGGATCACCAACTGAAAAGTGACCGCCAGTTCGTATTTTCGTCGGGGTTGCTCAGCTGGTGATCTTCTGGCTTACCTAACTCATAAATCCGCCGCTATCCGACATAGTAAATGGCCGTTAGTTTGAACATAGAGAAAGCCTTCAATCGGGTTTGGCACAAAGCGCTTCTTTCGAAGCTCCTTTCCTTCTTCTTCGAGCGTTTGGTAACAAAACTAGAAGCTACTGAGACGCGCACCCGCGGAGACTGGTGGAAAATATCTTATTCTAAGAAATCAGCAAGTGCGACAGGTCTGTGAGGCCCCATGTCCACGGTCAAAGGTTAATGCGTTGTACCCCCATAGGGCGGAGACCTGGCGTCCTGAAATACAGGCGTAAAGCCTAGCTTAGACACCAGTCTCCCACAGTATAATATTGAGGCTCTATAATATTATGTACAATATGTGGTGAGAAAAAAAAATTATTATTACCATATTTCTCTTTTTTTTATAGCAACTGTAAAACACACACATTATTCTAAATCTATAGAAATAAATAAAATTGAAGTGCCTGTTTCTGTTTTTTGTGGCGTAATAGTAATACAGTGAGAGGTCCGTAGCAAATTAATTGCATAGGGCCCTCTCCCGTCCAATCTAAAGAAACTCAAACAACGTTACAGTTTTATTTTTTATCTATACAAATAAATAAAATTGAAGTGTCTGTTTGTAATGTCAAAATTACAGCTTTTTACTAATTGCATATGAAAGTATATACGGTACTTATAACAAAAATACAATTTTTAAAATTTTTGTCTGTCTGTCTGTCTGTTCCGGCTAATCTCCGAAACGGCTCAACCGATTTTGATGGGACTTTCACTGGTAGATAGCTGATTTCATAAGGAGTAACTTAGACTAATTTTATTTTAGAAAAAGAATTAGGGTTCCGCGCAAAACCATAAAAACCCTAACCCGCGGGCGAAGTCGCGGGGAACAGCTAACAGCAGAAATAAATAAAAGAAAAAAGTTTATATCATAATATTTCAGCAATTTTATTAGTTACATGATTGTATGCTTATTCTATTTTTACATCATGATTTAAAAATAATTTCATACTTAGTCCAAATATGCATAGCTGTTATGCAATATTTAAGTTTTCATTAGAGGTCAAAAGTAAATAAATTTTACAATTAACATTTTTAGATATTGGCAGTGATTATGTTACTTGTTACAATAAAGCCTTGGATATACTTTGGGACAAAAGGAGCAGCATGTTCCTCAACAACTAGATGGAATGTCCCGAGACATGTTTGTTGCGGAACATATTGCAAGCTACTCTAGTCAGTAGTCAGTGCTTATAGAATTTTCGTCCGAGATGGTTGTGGCGATTAGTGCTGCGTACATAGTATTTATTAAGTAAGCTAAAGAGAAGGTGGTGGATGCGGAATTTTTTACTACAAAAAGACAGAAGAATTAATATTTCAAGTGATCTCCGAATGTCTGAGGGATCTTCTGTGAATTTTACTCTAATGTCAACATCTGATTATGAAACTTTATTACAAATGATCGGACCGTCCATAGAAAAACAGGATACAATCCTACGGAATGCTGTTGACCCTCATATCAGACCTGCGATTGCATTAAGATACTTGTCGACTGGAGATTCTTATGCTTCCTTGTCATACACTTTTCGAGTGTCGAAATAATTAATTGGTAGAAAAGGGATATGCACTTTGGTTTCAATTTTTTTTCTTAGTAATTTAACCACCTTGGCAATATCCTCCCACATGTCATTTTTCTTTATTCTTTATGCACTCGGAACGGGAGCAAACAACATGTCCCGCATCACATAAAATGTTGCGGGACATTGTGCAACGTTGCAACACGTAGATTAAGTGTTCCACATCTTGTTGCGGGACAAAATGTTTCCTAGTGTATCCGGGGCTTAATCAGAAGTATACTAGATAACTTCTAGTCTGCAACAATGACTATCAAACAATGTTGGTGTTATTCAAATAGAACAGATTATCAATTTAACTAATATGGGTAGTTAGTAAGGATATGAAAGACGAATAGATGTTCACATTATTAAACAGAATTGTAATATTATAGAATATACAATGAAAATAATGAAAAGAATCATAATATTTAATACTAAGTGAATATTTTGACATAGCCTTAGATAGCTTAGGGTAAGCTTATGGGCGTTCATAAGTCTCTTAAGTTTATATTTTTAATTAAAAAAATCAAAGCTGTTAGTGATATAAATCTATGGATTTAAATCATAAAATTTTCAAAAGAAATATTTTAATATCACTATCTACTTTATATTACAAGGCTTAGCTTTCCATTGACGTCAGTGGAGTTTGGTGTTGATACGTATTTTTACAGAAAGATTACACTATTATAAGCACACACACAATGTCTCAATATACGGAAACGCGTAATTTTTGAGAAAAGAATAATTGAAAATCAATTATTCTTGCAATGTTTACGTCTAATTTGCTAATAAACTGGCGCCATTTTGTAATGTCATTGTTGAGTGTCGACGTCAATAGGGATGTCGATTCTTTCCGAAAAAGGTCGATTTTTAAATTGATTCAAATCGTAAGCTGATGTATCGGTACACAAAAAATCGATTTCTAAAATGTCTATATTTTTTTAATGTTTCTATTTATAATGTAAATATAAAGTATAAACCCATTTTATGAAAAACAAGAAAGATACCATGATAAATGATCTCTTATTGAAATTTGTTTTATTTAACAGTACCTATTAGGGCAGATAACAAATAAAATAGGTTAGGTTCAAGTTATGTCAAAGAACCGAATTGATTGACCCCGACTCCACCTGGTGCGAGTCTGTCCTACCCCTAGAGTGGTTTTATAGCGCCGGAGACGTAGCAGTCTCAAAATAGATACAGAAATCCTTATGAATCAGTCCCCTTATTTTTTTATGATGAAGGGGATTTTTTTCTCATAAAATGGATTTATATTTACATTATAAATGCAAACATGAAAAAAATATCGATATTTTAGAAATCGATTTTTTAGGAATCGATACATCAGCTTACGATTTGAATCGATTTAAAAATCGACCTTTTTCGGAAAGAATTGACATCCCTATTGACGTCGACAATGACATTACCAAATGGCGCCAGTTTATTAGCAGATTAGACATAAACATTGCAAGAATAATTGATTTTCAATTATTCTTTTCTCAAAAATTACACGTTTCCGTATATTGAGACTTTGTGTGTGTGCTTATAATAGTGTAATCTTTCTGTAAAAATACGTATCAACACCAAACTCCACTGACGTCAATGGAAAGTCGTACCTATTACAATTGCTCAACTGGCATAATTAACACTTAAATCAATCTCTAGACTATTTGCCAACAAGCTCAGTATGTTTAGCTTCATAAATGCTTTTAGCTTCATTCTGATACTCCTCACACATTGCCGTTATTTGTTTGATAACATCAAAAATCGTGTCCTCCGATATTCCAGTTTGCTTCTTCACCTTTTTAATAAAATCATTTTGCACATCCTTAACTGAGTCTCTACATTTAATATACAAAGATTTTGCATTTTTTGCTAAAGCTTCCCTATGTTCTTTAGTTACTTTTGGCACAGGTACAAACAATGTAGTGCCATCCTGCTGTGGGTTAAGATTCAAACCGGAATTATGTATAGCCTTCAGCGCGTCTGGTATAACTTGTGGGAAAGATGAGAAATTGATTACTAAAGTCTTGGGATTCTTACGAACTATTTGAGCAAGCTCCTGAAGTTCATACTCTTTTCCATCAAACTTTACTGGAAGCGATTCAATAGAACCTGTTGTGGATCGAAGCGACAAATTTTTTGCAAAATCTTCTTTCATTTTCTCAATTGCTGCTTTACATCTGTCTTGAATCTTATCCACTGCAACTATTTCAGACATCATGGCTAGATTTATTTCAACCTTTGCTCCTTTGCCCTTCTTTTCTTTGCCTTTGTCTTTGCTTTTGGCATAATTTCTTACAAGTGTAAAACTTAAAGGAGCATGAATAATTCTTTCGTTTCGAATGGTGAGGTTAGGATAACTTTTTAGAGAACGACTAATAATTGGAAGAAGCAATCGTTGTAATATTCGAGAACCCATTATAGAAGTGTAAGCTACATAAAATTATACACAAATTTATATATTTTTTTCTAAATTTATAAATTTTATTACAAGAATAACAATATTTTTGTTCGCTTGACTTTGAAGTTTAAGACTTTTATTTTTAATTTTGATAAGCCAATTAAGACAGGCAAAAGTCTCAAAGTTCATTCAGCCTAGTCTGATTCACAATACTTTTCGCAATATTAAGCCGATGTTTCTAAGGAGATTTTGACAGCTCAACCCAGCGGTTATTTGATGACTTTAGAATCTCAAGGCTAATAATATAAACTAAAATGTATGTCATCATTTTAGCACGTTTCATTCGTTTTCATTTATTCTTCATATAGTTCACATCAATACACATTTATATCTCAAAATTCAGGGTCAGCAGAGGTCAGCAGAAGGTCCAACAGGGAAGGTGCACGATCCTTCACATCTAGAAACCGCGTGTAGGCGAAGTAACCATATGCCAAGGCAAAGTCATAAACAGATCTTCCCGCATGATCGGTTATACGAGAACCAAGCCATTCAGTGTGGTGGCTGTTAAAATCACCAAGGATCATGATCTCTGCAGATGGAGGCCTGTTGTAACACAGAGTCTGTAGCGATTTAGATTGTGATAGATGTGTGTGATTTGGTATCTGTCCGAATTACCTAAATAGGCACCCGTAGACGCGAGGATGGTCGTCGCTGACATTCAAGACTTACGAGGCTTCGAGAACAAATGTCATATCTGACGTATGCGTAAACTCCAGCCCGAGGCACAAAGGTGTTCTAATTTGTACCCTGGATAGGATAGTAGTATCGACCGGAGGGGACACCTGCGTTTCGGTTAGAAAGAGCAAGGTCGGCTTCGCCATTTTCAGATGGTACGTAGTGGACTTTGTTAACATTCGAATGAAATCCCCTGATGTTCAGAAATTCATGGATAGCGTGGCAGGGGTCACCTTTGTCTTATTGCTCTACTTGCCACGAATTTTACGAATTTAACGAAAGCTGTCGCGTGGCTCTTTGAATATTAGTAACTGTAATCTACTTCGTCATTCTACAGTGTGGTCCAAACAGTGAGGTTATAAAATTTTTTTTTGATTCCTCACACCTAGGGGTATCCGAAAATACCCTATGTATGTTCCGCGATTTTTTGTAGTTTCCTCGCCGCTCCAGTTGCTCTCGATAAAGCCGTGCCGCCAATGCTCCGTTTCCTTGGGCAACGCCGTAGAAATAGTGCATCTCTGCGTATTGACTGAGAGAATAACTCATTGCTGAAAGTAATCCAAATCACTAAGCAACTCAAGGTCCATAAAACAAGCACAGGTCAATCGTAAGGCAAATCAAGAATCCGGGAAACAAAGCGAAGGTAGTCAAATAAGAGATCCAAATAAACGTAAACGTGAGTAGTGGTTGCACGCGGGAAAGCAGTGAACGACTGGCGGGACTGAGCGAGATGAAAAAGGGACGCGGTCGGTGTGGCGCGCGGCACGGGGTGCGGCCTGGTAACAAAATGGAGCGCAAAGCAGGAATGTTTACCTGAGCCTTTGTTTAAAATTCCTTTGTATGTTTGTGACTGAATGTGCTATCATTTAGTTTGAGTGAAATAAAAAAAAAAACATGTAGTTTGTAGTAAAATGATACCTTAATAAATGTCACGTTTTAACAATAAGTAGTTTTCTTTGCTAACCTGAAGCATTTACTATCGTAGTTTAGCCCTATAAATGATAAAAATATTTTTTAAATCAAATTAACTATTCAGGTAGTTTCCTGCCTGAGTAACTTCAGAAGTCTGTAACAGAAAAACTGGCCTATTAAGTGTCATTTTTTTAATGTTATTATGAAAGATTAAGGTACTGCCAAGTTTTTAAAAGTAATTAGAAAGTATTGTTACGAGCTTGGGGTTCGAGACAATTAAAAACTGCCGATTGAATTACCAAAATTCACACTTTAATTACACAACACTAATTACAATCTAAAATCACACTAATAATAAAACACAGTTCGCTGTTATTTCGCTTCAAAGTATTCTCTTGTATCGCCAATTCAATACTGCCTCGGTCGTGGTGTATACCGGCCTTATATAAGGTCTCAGATAGTTTCCAGAACCTTCTACTGTAGCGACATCTAGAATGTTCGAGTACATATCGGTCCCGAAATTTCTGGAAGGATCATGACTCTCCTAGTTCTGCTACTCGACACTAGAGGGCGCTAGTGTAACTAGTGTTGCCATGTACAAAACATGTGGCGCGCAACAGTATGAAATCATTTATTACTATTTTTCATTTAATGTTGAAAATTCAAGCCCCACTCTTCTGACAGAAAATTTTTAAGTTTCGATTAAAATTATTGTATCTTCAGTGAATGTTAGGAAGCTAATTATTTTATGCATAATAGGGCAACTCATAAGGATGATGCTACAAACAAAAAAACTTGGAAAAATTTCACAATTACATTTTTTTAAATGTTAGGCTGTTTAGGGTGAACATTTTCAAAAAAAGGATAAAAAAAAATCATAACTCGAAAACTACAAAAAATCGCGGAACATACATAGGGTATTTTCGGATTCCCCTAGGTGTGAGGAATCAAAAAAAAAATTATAACCTCACTGTTTGGACCATTCTGTATATGCGTTAAACATAATACTTAGTAGTAAGTAGCTTTGCTTTATTATGTCCTACAGTGGGCGACAAGGAGCTGATGATGAATTATCTTTGCACCTTTAAAGTTTAAAGTATTAAGTTTAGTTTAAATAGGGCCCCAATTTCATTTTTGCCCGGGGGCCTTTGGTTACATAGCTACGCCGCCAGTCTTCTGGTGATATTTTTAGGAACTCTTGACTTGAATGGTATCAATTCTAGCATATTATATGTTCAACATCAAAATATGGATATAGATCGAGGTATCTTTATAAAGCAATTAGCTCGTTCCCTAGTAGTCCCGCATATGCAAAGACGTTATATAGCTCGACCAGAGCATTAAAAAAAACTTGAGAATCACACAAAGCACGTTTTAAGCGGTGACGCGCTCCCAAATGATACCTAAGCGGAACAAGAAGAGCAAGGGAAGAGAAAATCTTGTAACCTATTTCCACCAAGAGTCCACAGAAAGAATGCCTATAAATGTGTAGCATGCAAAAATCCAATATTATGTGTGTAATTCTTAAGCCCCCTGAGTAAGGAATACTATTTATTTATTTATCTGCACAATTAAAATCAAATTACCCTAAATAATATAGGAATCTGTCAGACCCCATGTCCAAGCTAGTGTTAGAAAAATGAAGTGTCCATAGTTCAAGGTTAACTATTTCTGGTCACCCATAGCTAGACCTAGACTTCTTACTTTGGAGTATTTTACAATATGCAATGCTACTGCCATTACGGTAGCAAACACTGCATCATATTAGTCTGTGAAAAGTGCAAACACTGTACAGCTGAGTCACCTCACTCGAAACGTCTTATACACGGTCCATCTTAAACGCACGTCGCGCTAAGGTCATACACGTACGTCAACATGGACCGTATATACGACGTTTAAGATTAGCTTGCTACGGATTTATTTATCAATGATTAAGATGGTTAATGATCATGGCTTCTATAAGTTCTGTAAGTCTTTGTTCGTATTATGATATAATCAATGATATGTTGTAAACTGGTAACATTCATTGCTATGCAGACGACAGCTCTAGTGATGCCTTATACACCGGCCGTGCCAATATTTCTCTGGAAAACGTCGCCGACTGCCGGGACCAACTTGTGTCTGAGGTCAAGTCTTTGCTGAACAAAGTCTCGGATTGGGGGCGACTAAATCTAGTCTAGTTCAATCCCCAGAAGACACAAGTTTGTGCGTTTACCGCTAAAAAGAACCCCTTTGTCGTTTCTCCTCAGTTTCAAGGCACTCTCCTTACTGCATCAGCTAGCATCGGAATCCTCGACGTCGCCATATCGAAAAGTGTGCAGTTTCGTGGTCTGGACTTGGAAGGGAATTTTTGCGTAGACTCCAGTTTTGTCAATTTAGCGGTCCAGACCTTGGGCATGATGATTTTCTTTTTGATTATCAGAAGAATCCTTCTCCAAAAATGATAAAGTTTTCTTCAAGGTTTTGCTGGTCATTGTCCTTTTTTCTTTTCTTATTTTCCGATACTGGAGTTGGAGGTGGATCCATTGAGCTAATCGAATACCTATATTGGTCTTAATCATTTTCTTTGTCTTCCTGTAATATATAACGACAAGTTAATAAAATGTTAATAACAAATTATGATAATGTTTATTTCTTTTATTGTTTTAGACACCTTCAACACAGCAAGAGCGGAGAGAAGTGAAGTTCGTAAGACTGCCAAAAAACAAGGTCTACTTAACTTGCCTAACCCAATTAATCTCTCAAATATGACTCACTTATTTCCTTACGTATTTGTGGCTGATGAAGCGTTCACTTTGGGCCCAAATTTGATGAAGCCATAATCACAGAAAAACTGCAGCTCTAATGAGCTGATATTCAATCAAAAACTATCAAGGCCTAGATCAACGATTGAGTGTGCTTTTGGTATCTTGGCTAAACGTTTTCGTATTTTTCAAAAAGCTATAAATCTAGAACCAGACAAAGCAACGAAAATGACTTTAACCTGTTGTTACTTACATAAGTTTTTAATTAAAGAAAACGCTTCCCTTTATTTAAACCAAGAAAAGGAATCACCAGCAGTCAGTATAACTAATGTACAGTCTACTCAAAATAGAAATGCAACTATAAATGCTAAAATAATAAGAGACAATTATTGTCAGTACTTTTGTAGTTTAAATACCTAATCAAACTTTTTTGTACTAACCTACGGAGAGTAATTAATAAACTTAATATAAATATAAACTAACCTCTATAGTTTTCTTTATTGGTTGTTCATCATTTCATAAAAACAGCAATTCATAATACATCCGGGCAGACGAGACTTAAACCTCATTGGTTCCCTTTCCCGATGATTTCGATTTGTGAATCTTCTTTAACTCTTTCCGAAAATT